TCAGGGGCAGGGGTTCCAGGGGCAGTCAGGGGACAGGGAGAAGGGGGGGTTGGATGGGGCAGGGGTTCCTGGGGGGGAGGGGGCGCTCAGGAATGAGAGTAGGGGTTGGATGGGGTAGCGGGGATCTGGGGGCAGTCAGGGGACAGGGAGCGGGTGTGTGTGGATGGGGCAGGGGTCCCAGAGGAGCCGACAGGGAACAGGGGGGTTGGATGGGGCAGGAGTCTGGGAGCGGGGGCAGATAGGAGGTGGGGGCCAGGCCACTACCCCCTCCCCTAACAGGCCCTCCATACAATTTACGAAACCCGATGCGGCCCTCAGGCCAAAAAGTTTGTCCACCCCTGAGAAAGAGGGTTTATTATGTCTACATCTAAAATAATGAACAGTATAGAAGGAACTTATCAGGTCATCCTATTTATCCTACTCCTATCATGAACAGACGCTCAAAATAAAAAAGGCAACAATGCGAAATGTCTAAATATTCCATGATTCTCCAGGATATTCCACAGGATATCATGCGGGCAAATAGCTTTCTAAGCTCCACAAAGGGATTAAAAATGTATATGATTAAGAATAGTGTTTTCAGTTGCATTACCTAGGATAAAATTACAGGAGCTACCAAACTTCATGCTTCTTGGTGTACACTGATCAATAACTGGAGTGAGAAGGAAATTTTCCCCACATAACACTATTGCTGAATTAGTTTTATTATGTGGAATCTGTACCAGTATTCCCATTTTCAATACTGTATTATATGGACCATTGTTACCATGAGAGACTTTTGAACCCGTAAGACCAAACTTACAGTCCAAATCAACTCTCCTCACACATCTTTGGAGTTAAACGAAACATCACTTGACTCTCTGAGTGCAAATCTGAAATACATTTGTGTCATTGAGTGTTTTGCAGTGCTTAGATACCCTTTGTGTGGTTGCCATCAATGTTTTTAGAAACTGTGCCTTGAGACAATGGTAGATGGTCACTATGGATGTACAGACCATATCTTTTATGAAAAGATGCATTTTCCATGGCAACAGAAATGCATGAAAGCTTTCAGAACCCTCTTTAACTTTATCTTTTTGTTTTGAGCTGCTTAAAGAGTTCAAATTGCAGAAGCAGATAGGAAATTCTCAGCTAGATTAATGGAGGTGAGTCGAATAGGGCAAAATTGACATGTCTAACACTTATCTATAGAAAAACCCAGACTCTCTCACATTGCTTCTCACTGCAGTTGGCATTGCTTTTCTTAGAAATGCACTGGTAACTAATGTCCATTTTATAATCCAATATAACTGAAAGATATGGGGAAACTGAGAAGAGTCATAGAAATTTGGGTTTCAGGGAGAAGTCATATTTTTTCATTGTGCTGACAAAAGTCCTTGCTCTGAAAGATGCACTAGAAATATTTGTGGTTTTGTGCTATGGAGAAATTTAGATTTTACAATGAAAAAATTAGAGTTTTAAGACTACATTTACATTTCACTTTTGTGTTCTAGGAAATGTATACTGATTAAAAGTCCAGTTTCACTGGCTAACACTGATTCTCTTTAAAAAAAATACAATTTCTAGACGTGGTATTTGACATGAGCAACTTGTCTGTTTGTTCAAGGAGCTCAATGAGTTGTGAAGAAAGACATTTAAACTAGAAACGCCGTATTTTATTTGACAATTTTATTAAATATTAAGCCTGATTTAGTAAACGTTTAATCAAATGGAAGCACAGGTCAGCTATGGGACTGCAGAGAAACTGGATAATAGTCAATGTTATTTGATGGAGTCGATCAAGTTTTATATATATCACACCAGAACATTAAAATCAGAGTTAATTTGACACAGTTATTATCATATAAATTTGAGCCACTTCCCAACGCTACACTGAATCCCAAAGTTACTCTAATTGGTATTCTAAACAGTTTGCCAATCTAAAGCTAAAACCTGAGGCTTAAGTAAATCTAACTATAATAAATGGAAGCCCGTAATAGGTTTATAAAATATGGATATTTACAGCCTTACTGTTGTTGAATATATTATGACATAATACGAGTGATATAGGGAAAATACATTTAAATACATCCTGCATTTTTCTACGGTAAATGATTTAAATTTTTTTTAAACTTCAATGCATGTGACAGAGTGCTTATCTATATTTCGTGTATTTATTTTTACTATTTTTTCATGCTGAGAAAGCCTCATAAAATAGATGTCTCATTTCCATACAGATCCTAAGCAGGTATAAAATCATACACCAGCACACTTTGTTACATGCATATAATGAGGGACAGTAAGTACATATAAAAGAAGGCGAAATGGTGACTGGGCCAAGGGCAGGGCATTTGGCAAAGTCAGCCTTATATTTTACAGTGGTTACAGGTTGAGGCAAAACCCACAAACTGTGGGGAAGCCACACACAAAAAAATAGCTGAAGTTTATAGCAAAAGGACTTGACCCAGAGAAACCATTACATGCTGTCTTAGGCACACAGTGCGCACTCACTCAGTCTTTCGCAGGCAGAGCAGGGTCAATAGCTCCCAACTGCAACAGAATCCTGCTCAATATCGTTAGTGGCAGAGCTCAGAGAATCATTTTCAAAGAACATGTTATCTGACAGGTGTAGCCTCACTTTATTCTCCCAGGATCTCTCTGAGAGCTCAGCACCATTTCCTAGAACTGATTTGTCATCTGAAAGAATCTGTGGATTTTTTTTTTTTTTTTTTAATTCTCTGGACTGACTGATCCTGACTAGTTCTCAATGGGCATGAAAAAGTCACTATTTGAGCTGGGTTGGTTCGATGTGAGGAGTCGAACAAATCACATGATATTGTTTATGTTCTGTGCTTGGACAGCATGCAAGTACTTCCAGCCAAAATGTTAGTGTTTGTGAAACTAGAATTTGGTTTGTACAAATTCTTGTACATGCAAACATGAAATCCACATTTGTGCCAAAAACTAGATTGCACTTATATTTGCAGCAAGTAAACAAACAAACTGGTGCAAACAAATTTATTTTAAAATTCCACACATTTTACAGGGAATTTGTTGCAATGTACATATAAATTCTACTTTTATATGTATTTAAAGGGTTACCCAAATAGCTTCATATGTAAAAGGTGAAACTGGTGTCTCCTTTGCTATTTGACAGCAGCGGTTTCAGAGTGACAGCTTAATAACAAAAGTATTTGGAGGTAGAGCTTAGAGACAGCTTTGGGAACAGTAGTCTTGGGTGAACCAGTGGAAAGAGAAACCTCTGCATGATGGATGCAGCTGTTCAAACAGAACTGCAAATGCTGGAGTTCTGAGAGTGGAATTACATCTGTGATATTTTATTTGGTGACTGCTCCTTTTGCCACCAAAATCTGTTCAAGACATAAATACCTGTTAATCAATTTGATTAGGAATAGAGTATTTCTGCTTGCGCATCCACACTTATTTTTCCCTAACAACAGAATATCCCTTGCCTGAAGTCCATTCTTTCCCATCAACTCAGCCTGTGACGTTTTAAAAATCTGAAGATTTTAATTTTTCTCTTTGAGCTTCTAGAAAAATAAACATAAAACATTTGGAAAAGTAAAATAATATAGAAAAGTCTACATATTAGTCTCAGCTTTTCAAAAGCATAAAGAACTTGTAACACAGTTGTGGGCCCAGAGATACCGGTTTTCAGTTTACACCAAAAGAAACTGACCAATGATTCTACATTTATAATATTTTATTTTAAAGAATAAAAAGACTGATAAAAAGGAGACTATGATATTCCTCTAAAGAAAGTTTTAACTTTTATTGACTTCCTGTGCATCCTGTCTGCTGTAATTTACTTCTGATTCACATTTGTCATTCACTTTCTGGCCATGCAGAGCTACAGCATGGGAAGCAGCACAAGAAATGTGTGTATGCATGCATGCATGTACACTTCTAAGGCACTTCTAAGCAACTGGATGGCTGAAAGTTGAGTGTCTGATTCCTGTGTCATTGCTCTGGGTCAAATGCCATCATTTCTATGTACTAATGAGACAACATATTTCAATTAGAAAGTCACAATTAAAAGAAACTATCACAGGCTTTAGGACCCTGAACAAAGATCATGGCTCCTCTATTGAGCCACTCTATGTCAGCTGCTTGAATCCTCCATGCACAGTTAATTTAACTTAAAAATAAGTGTGTGTGTGTGTGTGTGTGTGTGTGTGTGTGTGTGTGTGTGTGTG